TTTTTCGCGAGAAGAAAATAAAACGGTTTTTTATTGATCAGATTTAGATACTAAAAGTATTGAAAGTTTGTCTTCTAGCTAAGAAATCAATCCAGATATGAGACATTCTAATGGAATTCTGTCCACTAACATTTTTATTTGCAACAAGGTTTCTCATCTTCCATTATCTCTTAAAACCGCTGCTGTTCGATTACTTGCAGTTTTTAAAGGCTCTAAGTTGTTAAGCGTTTTATCCTGTACATTTTTTCTAAGTCTGAAGACTGCAAAGACGTTTCACATGAATCTGAGAAGAAATCGGTTTTCGTATCTAATGTAACCTAAAAACCTCAACAGCGATTACTTCAGATAAAATTCTGATTCGATGAAGATTGAAATGCAAATGAGGTCAGTGATGTTGGTTGTGCGTGTTCGTCCATATGCAAAAATCACATTGCTGCCGCTCTGAAGATCTTTTCTGTTGTGTAGAACAATTTACCTTTCCCACATATTTTATAGCTAAACGTAAAACATGAACATTTTTAACAACGCTTTTAACGCTTTTCATGACAATGAAATGTTTCGCTTGGTAAAAAATTGTTCCAAAATAAATCACTCAAACCTTTAGAATCTAGCTGAACACAGCCATTTGCGATTAATAGAAAACTTCTTTGTAAATTGGCGTTCTTCTAATAGTTTCTAATGTACTTTAATAGCCAAGTGTTTGCTGCCGCTTTCACCTAACAATTAGATGACAAAACTGACCTTAATGCTCGAGAATATCGAGTGTTTTTAAATATTCCACAAGGTATATTTTTTATTTCAAATGGTAATTTAATTTTCTCAATATGCTAATTTGGTTTCATTGATTTAAAGAGGCAAGTTAGAGGACACACGACTGAGAAAAATCAGCTTGAAGGCTTTGATTTAAATTCACTTTGACTTAAAGGCAATGGATTTTCTCAATGTTTTATAACAATTTTGCGTTTTACTAAAAATTTGCTTTTTGTATCTCCAATATTTTTTTGCTTTCAAATTATTTTATTTTTATTGCCTTATTGTGTCCACTGCTCTTGATTAAACATGTAAGGTTTTCAACGAAGGAATTTAATCCTAAATGAAAATTAGTCTACTTAAAGAAACATTCCTCTGTTAAAGGTGAGCTTTTGCGGAAGAAATTTTGAAAATCAAAAAATCGGATTCTCAAGATTAAAGTTCTGTGTGAATTTCACATATTCTTCATCAGTTTCCGAATATGCCACTTAACCACAATTCTTCCAACGTTTGATCTGGTTCTATTCAGTCCATAAAAGATGAAATAGCATAAACATATTCAAATTTGGAGAAGTTTCCAGATACTTGGAGTTCTTTACTTGGGTATTTTCTTTCAGAGCTTCGCTTTCCAGCTGACTCTTTAGAAGTTAATGATATGCACAGACTTTCTATTTAAATTTTTAGATTCTCTTAACATTTTTCTGCTCTAAACATCATAGAAGAAATTTTTATTACAGCGTTATAATTTGCACAGTGTTTTAAATGCGCAAATTCAAGACTAATGCGAATAATTACCGCTGTGAGTTTTTGGCGCATATTTTGGGAACTTGTTGAGCTACAAAGCTCTAGTTGCCATTGAAGGATAGAGCCTTCCCAGACAGCACAAGACGTCTTTAAGACGCCTTCGTTATGCCTTTATTATGTCTGAACGTCGTATGTCGCTCGAAGACGTCTTGTAAATGCCTGGCACAAGACGTCTTTAAGACGTCTTTAAAATGCCTGCTACAAGACGTTTTGACGAACTTGCTCGAGTGCATCCGATTGCAGTGAAAGTTTATTAAATCGTCCATTGCAGTTAGTTATATACGTGTTTGGATGATTAGTTGTTCAGCTTTTTAAAATTTTGTGAGCTTACGATTTATACAGAACCGAACAAGTGCAAGTGGTAAGCTAAACAAATATCACATGAGGGCCAAAAGAGCCACCGAAAGACAGAAACTTTACAATTGCGTTGAGAGTTCGGATAGTGGCGAGAGTTCGGATAGTGTTTCTTGTATCAAAATCAACAGTTTGCAGAATATACCAAAGCAATTATTTGTGACGCTCCTGCAAAATCATATGTAAAATGCAATAATTTAATTTTTAATTTTTTTAGGTTCAAGAATTTTCAAAATTAGGGGGATCGTCGGCGTACGACCTAGTGAGAAGGTCTCTTAGCCTCCTTCTAGCTGACCAAAAAACTATAGAGTATAGCTGGCTAGGGAGAAAGGGGAAAAAATATGTATGAATTTAAATATTTCCAAAATGTTGATAGGTATACATTTTATATATAAAATAATTCAAAATCCACAAAAATCAAACATTTTCATTAATATTTTTAAAATCTAACTGTTTTAAAGATAGTATTATATTTAGATGTGTATCTATTAATAATATGTTCATTTCTTAGGTGCAGCGGCAAAAGCAGGCCTTTCGAGCACCGCCAAAGAGACTGAAGACGCCATCCAAAATTGGATTAGAAGAGCGTCTGATAGACAAAATACAAAAAAATAAATTCAAATATATATGATAATAAATAAAAACACGAAATATATTATTTTACATTTCCAATAGGAAACTTCCCATAGAATATTCCTAACACCTTTGAAAACGTGTTTCAAGAAGGCATCCCTTTAAGGCGTCTCTTCAAGACGCCTTTAAGTCATCTCTTCAAGACGCCTTTAAGTCATCTCTACAAGACCTGTTCAAGACGTCTTTAAGACGTCCATATTTGTAACAACAGACGTCTTAAAGACGTCTTTAAGATGTTCGGATTAAGACGGAAATTCACGATTAATTCAAATTCTTAAAACCGCTGTTAGTCTTATTTGCTGTAATTGGAGAATCGGTTGAGCAACAAAGCTCTAGTTCTCATTGTGGGATAGAGCCTTAAATTGCGCACTTTTTCACATAAAACATAATTGTGGACATTTTTCTGGTTTTTACGCAAAATGCGAAAATTCAAGATTAATGCGAATTTTTAAAACCGCTCTTACTTTTTGGCTCATACTTGGAGAACCGGTTGAGCTACAAGAATCCACATACCAACGCGGAATAGAGCCTTTAACACGCATTTTGTTCGTATAAAACATCATTCTATGAATCTTTCTGGTTTTCACGCAACACCCGGCAATTCAAGATTAATGCAAATTGTTAAAACCGCTGCTAGTCCTTGGCTCATATGTAGAGAACGGGTCGGGTCACAAAGCTCTGGGTCCATTACCCTTCAGAGCCTTAAAGCTCGCACTTTTTCGTATAAAACATCATTTTAGAACATTTTTTGATTTTACGCATAATGCGTAAATTCAAAATTAATGCGAATTCTTTGAACCGCTGTCAGTCTTTGGCTCATAAACAAATTACGCACCAGTTTGATCATCGTTTGCGCCGGTTTTATTAGTGTTCTTCTTGAATGTTTTTCATAATTTCCTGACTCTTGGATTCCTTTTATTGCCTTTAGACAGTATGGAAACGTAGACACTTTAAGGTGATTGTTTTGCTTCAGAGATCATTCACCTTCAGCTTTCGGTGAAGGTTGCGACACCACAATATTTTATGGTAAAGATGAAATGGGGATCAATTTTCTAACAATTTGCATCAGTACTTTGTCCCGTCATTTGGTGTTTTGTGTGCTTCAAGATGTTTCTGCTAATTTTTGTCTGTCTTTTCTACATAGAAAATACACTGCTACATAACAGTGGGATCTACGATTGACGCAAAATATCTTTCTATAGATCAACGCTCTAACAACAGTTGAAGCAAAATAACTTGTTCGTCAGTTTGAAAATATGCCAGTTAAAAGTGCGTGCAATTGCTCCTTCATATCCCACTTTCTCTCCCCAAACCTCATGGACACGAACAAAAAATCCCACTTTGTATCAGTTCGACGAACTTCTGCTTTGGTTCCAATCAGTCCATCAAGTAAGAAAACAGTAAAATAGATTGAAACTTCTGAATTTGGAAAAGGTTTCAGAAATTGAAACTTCTTTAATTTCATGTTTTATGTAGGTATGATATATGTAAAACTTCCAATTGTTTCATACAGTCCAGAAAATACTGAACTTGTTAGAATGAAACATTCTGCATCTTTGTAGATGAGTTTTCCAACAAAAAGTATTGAATCCGGAATAAATCGTTACAAAAAATTATCGTCTTGCAATGGCTGAATTAGCAACGTCTCCATCATCAATTTCTGTACCATGCGATGCGTCCCAGATTTCAGTGAAGATAGAATAAAAACATGAAAAACGAGGTCGGAAAGGTCTTAAAACTGGAAATTTATTCTTGAAGATTTCTCTTAGGCTGTCCGTCCTTCAGTGCTTCACTTTACACCATTCCCCTTGTCTATTTCCCTTACGAAGTGGGAAAAACCTACAATCGAAAGCACATTTTTTGCTTCAGAGATCACTCAGCTTCAACTGTAAGTGAGGGTTTTGACACCACAATATTTTATAATGAAGATGCAATTGACACTAATTTGTGAATCGTGGAAGTTAGTTACGACTTTTTCCCAAAAAGTCCCAGATTTCAATGGCGTCTAATCTCGTTCCAACGTCCCACATTGCTCGAATTCAAACACCTTTCTTGTAGTTTCAATAATTTAATAGAGTAAGACACCGATGAAACAGCATGTAAAATTATCAAAACAACGCCAGCAGGAAGCAGTGGAATAAAAATATACTGATCATGCTATTAGAAAAAAATGTATATGGTCAGTACTTAGTTCAATGTCCAGTTGCACTTTGTCGCGTTAATTTGTGTAAACTATCTTTTCAGATGCATACAAGATTGATGCTAATTCATACATTCACTAATTGTTCCTGGTGCTTCTTCTGCTCTGGAGAAAATCATAGGTAGAAGCTCTAAAAGTAGCTACTTAGCAGTAGCTTGCAAAATATCATTGATCGTCCTCTGGTTCTTCAGACTGTCCACCATGCACATGCCAAGCTCAATTGGTAGCATCTATAAAAAAGAACTAAGACAGCCCTTACCTTATGCATGGGGGTGCCCCAGAAGTCGTTGAAAAACAAATTCTTCAAGGGAGTGTGAGGTCTGAGATCGCGATTTTCCTTAATAGCACTGATGTCATCAAAAACGAAATCGCAGTGCAAACTATTATAGTAACAAGCAACGCAAGTTAGTGCTACAACGACACTGAGCGCGTGATTGAGCGCCATTTCTTCAAATTTCTTCTCGATGCCCGGTAAATTAGACGAAGCACCGTAACTCGGGCAGGATTAGCTCTGCAGTGTAGAATCGGCGAGTCCACCAAGAGTGAAATCTATCAACATAACCCAGATTCACCAGGATCGATGACCGTCGGTTTTGTTGGCCGGCTTGCAACTGTGGCAGCTACATTTCATTTAAAAATCGGATTGGGTTTGAAAAACAGGCGGTTTTTTGCGAGAAGTCACAGGTATGCACATTGTACAGTTCCCGAACACAACCTTCCTTCTCGAAACTCGAAACAGCACTGAATTTTGCATCCACTGAGGGTGAACAACTGCTCGGTTCTGTCGCCGGGCCGCTTTGATGCGCAGAAGCATTTGTGTAGTCCATAATCTTATGTTCTCAACAGTTCACTACGTTCAGTTCAATTCGATCATTAAAATTCTAAACGAATGGGAACAGAGTGGGTGTATTTCTAATGTGAGATCAACAGCTTTGGGGAGATCCTGTCTCAGAATAATTGCATAATGCACATCTGATTTTTTACTAAAAATTGGCTGCGCAGAACGATTTTGGCATGAGGAACTGGACTTGATGAAGATTATTTCTCTTTGAGTGTTTCAGTTTGCCATTCGCTGTTCTGAAGCTGAAAACGTATTTTTTTAAACTGAACCATTTAAAGTTTTAAATTGCTTCAGTGAAAATATCTCTCATCCATGGCATTTCCTGCTTCTGTTTGAAGTGAGTCTTGGGGTATAAGTGATTTGGGAAAAATAGCATTTATAGGAAAATTTGAAGGTTTCGGATTCTTCACTTTGAAATCAATGAGTTCGTGTATGCAAACGTTGGAAAGCCTTGTTTTTATCTAACTTTATCAGTTGAAAGCTTACAAAAAGCGAGGGTAGTAGGGCTTCCTTCGTTTACCCCGCTTTGCTGCTAACAACAATTGTTGTCTTTTACAACTTTTGCTTTTTTAAGACCGAAGAAGTCGATTTTCTCTGTCCCTTTAGAGCGTGTTTTTGCGCTTTAAAAACTCTAACAATATATTCCTTGTTGTTGACTCAAAAAGTTTATGTATGTACATTGAGCTCTTCTCAGGAGGTCGGAAGCAATCCATTAGAGCAAAAATTATTCTTGTGAAAATTTGATTTTTGATAGAATTTTTGTTCGAAAKGGTGGTCGATTTTTTCAATTTTTTTGTTGTCAAAATGCTTATAATTCCACGTCATTTTTATCAGAGACACTAGAACTAGAACMTTGAGAGCCGAACTTATGCACATWTYWSATSACTTGAGATAATTTTTKGACATTAACGATAACTYCTACCTGACCATATGTTCCTTATATTGGATCCAAACACTTTAAATGAGCATATTGGAGGGTTTTTTACGTGGAAAGCAATCCACTGAGCTCAAAAAACACGCAAGTGAAATTMAAATTTTTCACCCAATTTTTCCCAACTTGCTTTTTCAAAACAAATATTTTTTTCTCAAAATGCTTTTAATGCCACGTCGTTTTTACGAGAAGGATGCCAGGATTCCAACGAYCTCATGGAAAAATACACTCGAAGCTTTAGATCCRAAATAGTCGACATTTTCCACTAATTTTGGGCAGTTTTGGTACATTCGCGATTTTYAACTGACGATATTTTCCTTATTGTACGAGCAAAATACGCGCTTGGAAAAGTTTGATTTTTAAGCGAAAAGAACATTTTTGGATAAAATCATTTTGTAATTCAGTATTRTRTTTGTATAAATTATTTAACGAAAAATGTGGCCTCAATGGCCATTTGGTCTTGTCGAGTAAAAAATSTGTGCCAAAATTATTTTTGAGCACTTAAAGAATTAACGAGAATTMMTTTTTCTCCTGCCTTTTCTTTTCRCTTTTCTGTTCTGCAGTCCAATTCAACAACTTACACAACCTTTGCTTGTTTTTTGTCCTTCAATCTCTAATTTAGTGTAATTTTCTGAAATTACTGTACTCACTTTTATTGTACATTTATTGCGCTAGAACAGAGCACGTGAATATTTAAAATAATATCCATTTAATTGGTTTTAACCTGTTTGAAGTGTCTTGGGGTCTAAGTCGTCTAGGAAAAATCGCTTTTATACTTCTCGGTCTTTGGTCTTTTCGTGTATCCAACCGTTGGAAAGCCTTGTTTTTCTCTAATTTTATCAGTTGAAAGCTTGCAAAAAGTGATCGAAAATCTTACTTCGACCGCCCCGGTTTTTTGCTAACAACAATTCTTCTCTTTTGCAACTTTTTTAAGATCGAAGTTGTCGATTTTCTCTGTCCATTTAGAGCGTTTTTTGCGCTTACAATTTTTTACTGACAATATCTTTGTTATTGACTCAAATAATATATGTATGTACGCGTATGTATTGAGCGCTTCTTAGGACGGAAGCAATCCAATAAAATAAAATTCTAGGCTAGGTTTTTCCGAAAATTTCGTTTTCTCAAAACGTTCATTTCACGTTTCACGTCATTTTTTATCAGAAGGAAGCCAGGATTTCAACAAACTCATAGAGAAACACAGCTTGGCTCCAGAGCCAAAATTACAAAGATTTTCGTTATATATCGTTTCATTTACATCATTTTAGACTATTTTTGGACATGCACGATCTTTACCTGACGATATTTTCCTTATTTTGGATCGTTACATTTTAAAAGAGCATATTGGAGAGTTTTTTACATTGAGCTCAAAAAACTCAAAAAAAAACGCGCAAGTGAAATTTCCATTTTTAACCGAATTTTTTCTAGGGGTGGACATCTTCGATTAATTTTGTCGTTTTGGTACAATCACGATTTTTAAGTGACGATATTTTCCTTATTGTACAGTCAAATATTTTAAACACTTTAAATGCGCACACTGGAGAGTTTCTAACGTCGCAAGCAATCCATTGAGCTAATAAAAAAACGCAAGTAAAACTTTTAATTTTCACCGACATTTTCCTATGGGTGAGGGTTGATTTTTCCAACATTTTTCCTTTGGATCTGCTAAGAATTCTGCATCATTTTTATGTCAAGGAAGCAGGAAATCAAGCGAACTCATGGATAAACACATACAAATAATCGACATTTTCTGTTCAGTTTATGCACTTTTTAAACGGTCACGATTTTAAGTCGACAATTTCTTCGTTAGTATAGACATAAATCCAAAAACTTTATATTTGTAGGAGATAATTCAATGAGAGCAAAATACGCGCTTGGAAAAGTTTAATTTTTAATCGAAAATGAAAATTTTAGATAAAAGATAAAAGCATTTTGTAATTTAAAATGGTATCCTCTCATATAACGAAAATTGTGGTCTCAATGGCCAGTTGGTCTTGTCGAGTAAAAAAGCTGTACAAAAATTACTTTTGAACACTTAAGGAATTACCGAGGTTTCATTTTTCTCCTGCCTTTCCGTTTCAGTTTTCTGTTCTGTAGCTCAATTCAGTGACTTAAAACATTTGAAGATATTGTACTCACTTTTATTGTCCATTTATTGCGCTAGAACACAACATGTATTTGTATAAAATAATGTCAATTTAATTGGTTTTAACATGCAGCCATCTTCAGATTAAAAGCGGTTATCGCTCCAAGCATATAAACATCAACAGCTGAAAACCTGCACGTGCTCTTCACCTATGGAACCATAATAATTCTCGTCGGTAAAACCGGAATGGAGAAACCCGGACGAGCAGTTTTCCCATGCAACTTTAGCCAGAGGGCTAATGGTCGAAACCGGAATTTTACGTTATTTTTCCATCTATATTCATGTTGTCTTGGAAGTTATGGCGAGCATTGCAAAGTAACTTTCGAAGTTGCCAACTTAGTCGACGCGAACAATGCATGATAATTAAAGCATCCAACAATAGGGGCACCAAATAAACTCAACAAACTACATTTATTATTTACTGTGCATATTATTGTCTTGAAAATTTGCAATCTCAAACTGAAAGTTGGTTATTTGCGTGAAATAATCGAGCTTATACTCCATTGTGACCTGCATTGGATAAGTTGGTTAAAGCTGAGTATTTTCTGAGCGAAAGGAGCGAGTTTGAAAACAGTTCAAGTCATGGTTTTCATGTTGATTTGAAGATTTCCTGCGTAAGCTAACCCTGAGACATTATGGCAATCGCTCTAGAACAGGAACAGTAGAAATCTGAAATATTCCTTATGAAATTTCGTGTTTCGTTGTCGGGCTCTTTGATGTTTCTCAACAGTTTCCATCTGCAAATAATAAGGCTGGAACGCACGTACGCCGGTTTATTCAACATCCCCAGGCACTTTTGTGAATCTCGAATCTTAAAACGGTTTTAAGTTTATAAAATGCAAATCCAATACCGTTGCCTTGAGAACATTTCACTTCGATCCGAATTTTCCATTGTTTAATCGCAACCGAAACTCTATAAACCGGCTATTTAGTTCGCATTCGTTTATTGAAATAGTATGTTGACTCTAGTAATTTCGCTCTAAATTAGCTCTGTCGGGCAAGGCTTTATGATTGCTCTTTGGCAAATCGATTGGTCCTCGTACACAATCGCGGTTTATTCTGTGTCATCCAATTAGTGAAATTAATTCTATATTGCTCTTCTAGTGCATATCCACCAGGCCTAATTGTATGCAAGAGGTTTACGATCAATAATTCGAAGATTCACTGCGCAAATTAGTTGAAAGTACTATAAAAGCAGCAGTTTTTTCAGTATAAGTTGCTGAAAAATTCGACAATAATCCTGCCAAATGTTTAACTTATCGCTGGGGACTTTGAATGAGAAATGCACCGCTCATAAAAAGGCAAAGATGCAAATTCAATATTTTTCTTTACTTTAATATTATCTCCAGTGCTTCGCTCTGGATATTCGACTTTTAATAATATTAAGGGATTTTTGCCGGGTTTCTGAAAAATTGTATTAGAGGATGTCATGTCCTCTCTTCTCTACTGATGGGACCTTTAGTCGATACTTGCAAGCCAACTCGAAATTTTATGCTCGATTTATAACAAAATTAGAAGAAACTGGCTACTGAGCCCTGCAACACTGATGAAAGTTTAAAAGCTTTCAAATTAAAAGCCTGCAGGCAAATGCAGCTCTAGCGAAAGGTGTGAAATATTAATTCTTTTAACCCATGCAGTTTTTTACCTGCAGCGAGTTCATTTTTTCCATTTGGATGGAACTGGATCCACGTATTTCAGCTTCAAATCCCTAGGGTATTATTTTGAAAATCAATTAAATTAGTGTTTTTCTGTGGCTCTAACCATGCTAGATGAAAATCTATATTCAATGAAGACCTCTTGCTTTGTCCAAGCAGTAAAAATTGAATAAATCCGCAGAGTCTGAGAAATTTCAGTTGCACTATCGACAACCCTCGAGGCAATCGACTGCGCCATTCCTAATCATACATATGACGGCAATAAATTACCCTTACTTCGCGAATTAGTTTCGGAACTCGTGTGGGACAAGATAAACTGTTGAAAAAGCCATAGGGATTTTGCCTCTATAGATTCGTCCTTATTCTAGAAAGTCAAATCCATTATTCCGATATTTTAGTCCTAAAGTTTCCAGCTGTGCCAATTCTTTAATTATTCCTGAAGACTAAATAGGCTTCAGAAATAGTTTGATAGTATAATGCTAGAAATGTTCAAATTTGGAACTCTTAGATACAATTCCTGAATTTTTTTCCAAACTGGCTCTTTTCCTGAGGCTTTTTAATAACAGTTATTTTAAGAAATTCAGAACTCACAAACGAATGACAACTTAATATTTCCCGTATTCCATTTTATAGGCGAATATTGGTCATTTGTAACAGGAAACTTTTAACGTTTGATCTTTTACAAACGCTTAAAAATAAAATTGGATCTGCTTGAAGTACTTTCGAGGAATTTTTCGAAACTGGCGCTTTTTAATGCTCGATCATGCAGGGTTTAAAAAAATTATAACTCGTAAATTAAGCGGAAATTAAATCCCTTTTTACTTTTTATAGAGACACAATGGTTGTTTAAGGCAGGAAAACTTCAAATTTTGATCTACTTTAGAGTTTTCTGACAAAGTTTTAAGTTGTTTTTATAGGTTGTTCGCGTACAGTTATTTTACAACATTAATAACTCGAAAAGGGTCTGAAAATAAAACTTGATCGTTTCTTGTACCAAAAGTTGGTTATTTATGACAGGAAAGGCGATGTAAATCTACTTGGGTTATTTTCTGAGAATTTTCCCCATCTGGTTCATTTTGAAGCTGGTTGATGCACAGTTATTTTAGGAAATTTTCTATTAGGCATTTGTGCATTTTATAGACAACAAATTACTATTTGCAATGGGAATGTTTTGACTGTGGATCTTTTATAGACATTTTCTGGCCATTATTCAAAATTGGCGCTTTCTTCATGCTTGCTTGTGCATAGTTATTTTAGAAAAGTCTTAACTCGAAAACGGTGTGGAAATAAAACTTGCTCGTTTCTGTGTTTGGCAACTGATAGTTTGCGGTTTATGTTAGGAAAGTTTCAAATTAGAATCCATTTTGGGCGTTTTTTTGAGAATTTTCTAAATCTGGCTTTTTTTTAAAGGCTTGTCGATGCACAGCTATTGTGGAAAATTTATATCCAGAAAACGAAGCGGAAGTTAAAGTTGTTCTTTTGAGCGTTTGGTGCAAAAAAATGGTTGTTAATAGATGCTAAAGTGTGGAATTTGGAGCTCTTAGGAGACATTTCTCAGAATTTTTCAAAATTTGTACGTTTATTCAAGCTTGTCGATGCAAAGCTTTTTTGGGACATAACTGTGAAACAATTCATGGCAAATGAACCAAAAAAATGACTGAAACTGCTGAAACACTTCGGTGCAATCACTAATAAAACAGAACCCAACAATGCAGACTAATAAAGCTGAGAACCGAAACGAGTTGGAGAAAATTTGATCAAAACCAAATAAAACAACACATACGAGTACACAACAAGTACGAGAACAGTCTGAAGATAAAACGGTAAATATTTTAACTCAAAGTCAATTTTATGCAGTAAAAACAGTCAAAAATTGAGCTTGGAACTTTTGGAGCTACTTGCGCTCTACAGAGGTCTAAATGCGCTTGAAAAATCCACTCCAAGACCCCTTGGCTTGTCTTATTGAATAATTAATCGGAGTCCTTGTCCTGTAATAATTATGTATAATTTCGTTACCATTCAGCGCTTACAACTTTGCCATTGAATATTAAAGTCAAACTTTGTGGAAAACGGTACATGAATATTTAAAAGAAAATGTTATTTTTGACATGGCAAGCAGACCCTGTTTGATCTTATTAAATATTTAAAAAATAATCTACAAACTACTAATAAAATACTATATAACATATCAAATTGAAGGCAGGTTAAAACGACACTAAGATAAACTACTTAAAAACGAATATTGTACTAAAAAAGTCGAAAATTTGTATATGTCCTATCAAACAAATCGCGAAAAGTAGCGGAACAAAGTAGTGCAATAAAGCAATTTGTTAGAAAGAGAGGCAATGGCTGTTGAGGGCGGAGTCCAGGTTTACTGAAACCCCGCCCCTAACGTTGGTTTGTTTATGTTTGCTCTCTTTCTAGCACAGCAATTCGGGCATCAGCCTTGTTGCACTGATGTGAGACTTATTGCAAAGCATGAGAACGGTATATATGTAAATAAAATTGTACAATAGGGCTGATTTTGGGATTCTACTTCCGGTAGGTGTCAGCTTGTTCTTCTTCTTTCCTCAGTGCTTGGATGAGGACAATAGAAACGACCACATTCATAACCTGCAATTAAAAAATGTCATGTATTAATTGAAAAATTCCCGACGAAGTTTAATTCATTATTCTGACCAGCCCTTCTTCAATTTCCTAGCTCGCTTTACCTTAACTTAACTTACACGTGGCCATTATTAACTAGGTAAATATCATTATCTTTTAAATTGCTGCTTTAACAACCTGACCGACAGTGAATAATTTATTATATTAAACCGACCATAAGGGCGTGTTTTACTTCTGTTTAAACAGCTGGGCCAATAACCCTTGGAATAATAGATTGCTAAAGCTGTTGCGGTTATCGACTGCAACTCGTTAAGATTGAAGCAGACGTAAATTCGTGCTTCAACCGAAAAAAATTGAACTTGAGCACTTCTGGAGATGTTTGTCAGTTTCCTGTGGACGTTGAAAACTTTCAACTAGTTTTTCGCGTGTCAACCGCGTTCACACCGATCCTCCAACAGTTTATCCATAGCTGCTTCAGCATTTTCCGTCGAAATTAATCGCTCAATGGCGTGATTTCTCTTATCTATAACTGAATGAAACATTGCTTCTTAAGCAACGATTGCATTTCATGCATGAGGAAAGTTCTGACGGATAATTAATCTTCAACAGTTATGTCGGTTTTGGGTTGGACTCGTGTACATTCGGGTGTACAGCGTTTCCATGCAATGAGTACAAATGATCTGTCCATAAATTCCGGAATCCAATAAAGAAGGCGACCCGAGAAGGCTTTTGAAAAACGCGACCGGACAAAAGGAATTCGTACGGAAACAGGATCGCCTAATTCGGGGAAGGGTTTAAATGATTTGCGCTGATTGAAACAAATGGTCTCGCCATTGAAATGTTTTTGAATAAGCAATTAAACTTTACATTCATGGACAGGACAAAACTGTCCTTTGCCCTGTTTGCTCAGATTTATCGCAAATAGCCCCTGGACGGAGAACTTCTTGTGCTAATAGAACGGGCTTTGATGTCAGCCCGCAGGTTAACTTTAAAATTGCACATCGGAAAGTTGCCAGTTGATAAATAAACACGGTGAATTTGTTTGAGATAACCGAAGGAAATTGAGATTGCCTGAAAAGTTTCCACGCATTCCCGCTAATGTAATTGGCTTTTATTTCGGTTATTTGCCCGGGCAATTTGTGACAAACTAAAGAAGCAATTGAGTGAAGAGTGAAGATGGAGGGAAATTTATAACAAACTTTAGTAGCTAAATTAATTTTGGCTTTGCCAACGAGTTTTAGACTGAACTTTATCATGTCACACTCATTCCTGTGTTTGTTCAATTTCTTCATTTAGTGTCCTTTATATCATCACAATTTCCTCACAGCATTACTCAATTTGGCCAAACAAACGAATTATAATAAAATAATTCCTAGTAATAACTGAGCGAGTTGAATGAAATGCGCCATTTTATAACAATCTGGATTATCTTTTAATCGTCTATAAATTAAATTGCGCCCAGTCCCCGTCCGTAGCGCGATTTTTTAAAACAGGAAATAAATTTAATTGAAATAAATCATATCTCATAAATTAATATGCATATTGCATGTATGTTTGAGGCAATTCATTTACGTGTCCAGCCGATACGTGCACCTATAGATTTAATTCAGGTGGTCGCTTTTTATATGTGGAAGTTTTTAAGTCGCTTTAAAGCTGAGTTTTATTGTGTTGCATGTTGGAAAAACAGTTTCAGTGTATGGATTTTTTTAAAGTAGTTGACCAAGCGAGAGAACAAAGAATGTAGTAAAACGCTTTGTGAAAAAACGTTTTTCCTGCGTTTAAGGAGAAATATTCTTGAAAGCGAGGAGCTTTTAAAAATTATTTGTGAAAACAGAAATAATTTCTAGTTGGAATTTTTTGACGAGAGTGCTTTCAGTCGTTCACAGCGTGTGCAGCATAATGTTTAAACAGGTGATTTTTGCGGTTCATCCGAAGGAGTTGATCGCAGAAGCAAATTTGGAAGATTTTCGCATGTGATGTTTTGTTAAAATCCCAATTATGATCCTGAGAAAGCCGTAAACTTTTCTCCAACATCATCAAGAAGGTTACAAGTTTGCTAAGAGTTAAATTGCAGCCATCATGTCTGCTAGCTGCTTTGGAAGGCCGTATGATGTTCCGTGAAGCGCACGCTAACAATCGTGCAAGTTTATAAAACAAAACCGCGCCCAACTTTCGACGAAAAAAAGGCTTTCAGAAAGTTCTGGCAAAGTTCTGAGCCTCGCACACACCGATTAATGATAACCCTTCTTAAATACGCTGCAACACAAGCTGCCGTGTCAACATATCCTCTCGTACCATAAATTAGGGGCTGGATGGAGAGTTAGAGCCTGTTAGTAAATTAGGTATTCAACATTAGCGTGTTTGTTACGTATTCCTGTCACTTGTTACGCGAGCTTTCCCGCTGTTTTTGAAGTATTAGGCCTGCACGTGCGTGAAAATTGCATCCAGACGGAACGTTTTGAGTAATGCCTTTACACAAGTAGAGAAAATGGGGCTGGAAAGAGTCGATTTGTTTGGGAGTGTTAATTAACTAAGGACTCCCACTTTGCAACTTTAAACGTCAAGGTAAACCTAGACAAAACTAGTGAATGGTACGAGCATATTAAGAGCATAATGCAAAAGTGAAAAATTGGACAAAAAGTCACTCCTCATATGAGCTGAAGCTTTGTCTATCGATTGCTGATGTCCGCATTTACAAGTCTGAAATGGCTCTTAAAAGACAAGCATTAGAAGAGCGTAGTCCAGTAACAAAAATTTGTGTAAAAAAGTTCGAATTTCAATAATTAATTATGAAGGAACCTCTGGTTTAAATCGAACTAAATTTACGTTTCAGATCACATGAATTAGTAGATATCAACCTCTGATGTCCGCATTAAGAAGTTTCCAATAGCTGTTGAAAAACAAGCGTTCGAACAGCATGGTGCAAAATCAAAAAATTGCACAAAAAAAGTAAAAACTTGAAAAATTAATTATAAAGGAACCGGTACTGTAACTCCAACGAAATTTATGTTTCGTATCACGTGAACTCTTCTCTAGCGATTGCGAATATCCACAGTTAGAAGTACCAAATAGCTCTTAAACGAGAAGCATAAGACGAACATGGTCCAAAGACAAGGAATTATACAAAAAAGTTCAAATTGTTCATGAAGGAAGTCCTCGTCTAAATCGAACTCAATTTACGCCTCGGGCCACATGGACCCTTCTGTATTGATTGCTGATGTCTGAATTCCAAAGTCTAACATGGCTCTTAAAAGATAAGCATTCGAATAGTATGGTGCAAAATCAAGAAATTGTATAAAAAAGGCCAAATTTCAACAATTATTCGTTGAGGAACTACTTGTCTTAATAGTAGTAAATTTACGCTGCATATAAAATGAACCGTTTTCTATCGATTGCTAATGTTTGCATTTACAAATCTCAGATGACCCTTAAAACACAAGCATCAGAGGAGCATGGTTCAAAAACAAGAAATTGCGCAAAAAAGTAAAAATTTCAAAAATTTATTATAAAGGCAGCAGTAGTCTTACTCGAACCACATTTACGTTTCGTATCACGTTAACTCTTCTCTATATATTGCGGATGTCCACAGTTAGAAGTAGGTATCACATGGCTCTTAAACGACAAGCATTTTAAGAGCATGGCGCAAAACCAAGAAATTGTACAAAAATGTCCAAATTTCACAAATTATTCATGAAGGTTCTGGTTTAACTCGAATTAAATTTACGTTTCAGATCACATGGACCTCTCTGTATTGACTGGTGATGTTCACCTTTAAAAGTCTCAAATGGCTCTTTAAAACAAACATTAGAATAGCATAGTGAAAAACATAAATTTGCAAAGAAAGTCCAAATTTAAATAACAATTATGAATCAACCGCTGGCCTGAATCGAACTAAATTCACGTTTCGTTCAAAATAATCGCGTCTCTATCGACTGTCCTATCGACGGTGCACACTAAGAAATCGCAAATGGCTCTTAACAGATAAGCATTACAAGAGCATGATATGGAAACAAGAAATTGCGCAAAAAAGTCCAAACTTCTAAAATTTCTTACGAAGGAGCAATTCTCTCGAATGGACTCAGATTCACCTATCATTGCACTTTAATGGTTGATGTTTGAATTTCGTTTTTACTTGAATACTTGCTCAAGATGGAGCTCAATAAAAGTCCACCAAGGATGACCGATAAGTCAGTGAAACCAGAAGGAAGAAAACATAAAACAACAAATTTATACATCGAACAGAAACATGTTCTTCTTCAGACACTTGAAGAAAATCTGCTGCAGTAAGCATTTTGACAAATTATCCTAAAATGCAAAGTGTGGTGTAAGTACAAAGGCCCAAGTACCACCCAAGTTCGACTAATGATTTTCAGTTGAAAGTTTTTCAATAATTTGGAAAAAAGGACGATCAAGCTTGTGGAAGTTTTCGCCGAGAGAGCAGATTCGCAAGAAGCAGCGAAAAGATCAAAGTTAGTTTCTCGGAATATTAAACTTTGCAAGTTTCCGTGTGTATTTGGAAAATTTAAATTATTTCCACTCGAGCGACTTTTGAAATTGGCCAACGTTTCAAGGTAGCTAATTGAATTTCCAGAGAGGGAGAAGTTATTAATAAGTTAAGTAATTCGAAGTTCGGTTGCTGGAGTTGGAAGCGATTTAGATCTTTGCTGTTATATTAATAAATCCGAACTGAATTGGAACTGTTCGCCTGAATGGGCCATGTTTTTTTGAAAGTTTCCAGCCTTTAATAAGGAATGAGGTAGATTCGGTTTAAGCGACACATGACAGGAAAGACAACATATTTCCTCGGGCTCTAAATAAAGACGGTAATGCGGAATAAACTGGGGCGTCTTGGATTTCTGAGCTGACAAGACACGTTAATGATCGTATTAAATTCCTTTGGATATACAAGGCTATATTTGTTGACAGCGTCGGCTTTAACTGGGCTATTTTGCCTCATGTCTTCAATTTTTTAACAAGCTCTGGTTCCATGTTTTTTATTAGTTCAGGAAAATGTCTATGGAAAAAGCCCTGAGTTGCCCTTAACACTAAACAAGAAATCCGAGTAAATTAGCACCAGCACCATCATTAGTCTGAAGTTTAAACCGCAAAGTTAATATCCAAGTCAGCATTAGCAAAAGTCCCATTCAGCCCAACGAAAGTTCATTTTGTTGCGATTGCAAACGAGCAAAGACTATTTATTACAAACCGCACAACTTTCGACGCTTTTGAATCCTCGACGAAATCAATGGCCTCAGCTTTTCAACTTACGGCCTTACAACTTACGGCATAAACCGTTTCGCCCCTTTTGAATCTGAATGTTCTTGTATTGATTTCGCATTTTTTCGCATCAAACGGTTCATTTATTATTCCCGGGCCTTTATCTGTGTTTGTGTTTGGATTTCGCATTTTTATTCGGATGTATTGGTTGATTTAGCGCAACCATTCAATGGAGATTTAAAAATGCTTCGAATGCGGTAGTCGAGGTTTTCGTACTTTCTTTTAAATTTCACCCAGCGAATCAGAAAGATTCTAATCGGGAGGTTCTTTTAAGAAGTAGACTTATTTCCATAAGGATTTTTTGCAGGAGGATAAAAACTGTTTCAGGATCGTTTTCCGAAGAACTCTCCTCTCATTTGCTTCAGCGGAAAATGGCTCAATTTATAATCAAAACTGAACTGTAACAGCATTCAGATACTCGAGATTAAACCCTCCACGAGTGTATTAAAGCGTATTGGACTAATAGACTTTCTCACCGGCCATGTTTATTCAGTTCTCTCGTCTGTTGCTGCTAAGATCTAATTTACGTTTGGCTGGATGGCCTTTGAGGTAACAGGCTTTTAACTCGACAAACAGTCGAGAATCCATCCAGGATCAGAAGTCACATGTATTTGTTCGCAGAAATTGCTAATTATTTCCATATTTGGCAAAAGTTCTGACATTGTGCGGCTGTCGCTCTATTTTCGCAAAAATTGGCCTTATTTCCTTCAAGAGGACGTACAGACTGCAAAAGAATATTTAGAAAAACTGCCGTTCAACCGCCCATGAGCTCTAGTGATCTCAAGTGATTAATCGCGTATGAGTTCATTTGACTTTTTCAAGTTCCTTCTGGGCAAATTTTGAAAAACGTGAAAACCCATGCTGATAGAGTTTACTGGCGTTCTACACCCACTCGTTTGGGGTTTTAATGGAATAAAATGAAATTGCTAAAAGGCAAATCCCAATTGTGTGAGAACAGAAGCGTAATTTCCAGAGAGCGAGATTATGCAAATTGGTCCGGATTTATAATAAAAGAGACAAATGTATCAGGAACAAAGGCGCCAGCGTTCCTTGAATATAAACCGAAAAGCCCCTTTGTACGACAGTTAAACTATTTAAACTTTTCTAGTTATATTGCGACTTACCGTAATAAAGGCGACAAGCATGGCCAAGGCGGCAATCCAGGCGCATTTGGCTTCAAAGAACCAGGTTAATTCATCCACGCATCCATGGAAAAATGGATTTCCGGTAACAGTGTCTCGACATTCCGTGGGAATTGGCTGTTGCAAAGTTAAGTAGTCGCCTGGACCATCGGCTCCGCAGCAAGCAATCTAAACAGAAAAGTTTGATTTTTATTTGCAACCATCTAAACGGACTGGATGAAAGGGAGGACAATGGAAAGCGGGCAATTAAAAATGTTCGGGAAGTTTTGTTTGAATTTCCGCACCTTTTTCGCGTTGGCCACTGGCGAACAAAGAAAAACCACATGCAATCAAAAGTTTGTCCCCGGCTTTTGAGCGGCTTACTGTCACATCAATTGATAGGATTAGGGAACCCCATCTCTCACAAAAAAAAACGTTCTTGAAACCTTCCAGCTGGATCAAAGCTTTTGGTTACAAGCACAAACTTTCTTTCGACCGATTAAACTAAACAATCAATCCTAAAAATGGAAGAACGTTTCCTGGAAGTATCATCCAAAAGCTCCGAAGTGTCCTCAAATTTTCCATTTAATAAACTTCCTGATAGTATTTCGATCCAATGGCAGAAGTTTTATAACTTCGCTTGTTTGATAACTGAGAAGTTTTTGTCGGAGTCGTACAATTACTTTTTCCAAATGCTCGATTTTTCACATCCAAAGCGGGGATCACTAATGGCCCAAAATCCAGGAAGACATATTGGGGAATATTTAAAAAATATATGGAGCTTCCTTGAAAGTTCACAGGAAAATTATACGATCTTGCTGGAAAAAATGTATACGTTTTAACGAGCCTTTTATGGGCTTCGGAAAAGAACGTTTCTGAGCATTATTGGGAATATAGTATCTTAATGCTTGGTAAAGAGGTTAACAGTTTGTTCGTGAAGACCACATAAAACCGATTCTTAATTCTGCTGCTTGTCGCTGGAAATAGGGCGACAAGCTGGACAATTCTAGGGAATTCCTAATAGAGCGATTAACTCTATAAATCTTTGCTCCATTATTGGTAAAATTTTCTAGTTTCGAGATTTTTGGAAATTTTTTTAATAAGGCTTTCGCATTTGTGTCATCTCTCTTTTCTTTGACCGCGCTCAGTTTCGGTAGTTTTACAAACAATTTTTTTTGTCTCAATTTTTACCTAATTTTTCGAAGTCGGCGCACTGTTTGTCTTCGACTTCGGTATTTAAATAAAAAAAATCACTATGCAAAACTGGAAACAGGTAGATAATTTATATTAGCTCCGGTAAATCAATAGAGCCTTGCTGGATCTAGATGTTTTGGCACTTTTGCTCAATTATTGGCGAATTTTTGAAGTAAAGTGGCACATTATTTGTCTTGCACCAGAATGTATTTCAGGATTTGATAAAAATCACCAGTCTAAATCGGCAATAGGTAATTAATTTCTATTATAGCAATTAAGTCTAGAAAAGTTTGTTCTACTGAAGGCACAATTTTAGACTTTTTTGTTGTTTCCCAAAATTTTGATTTTTTTTTTCAATAAAGCACCTTATGGGTCCTAAATATTCAAAACTGAAAAAAGACAGAAAATTTAGATTAGCGCCATTAGATCGGGAAAATAGTGGTATATTAGTGGCGCGATTTGTAATTTTTTCTCCTCTTTGAGCAAATTTTACCAAATTTTTAAATTAAATCGACACTATTTATTGTTAGACCCGCTTGGTTTCGATAATATTCTAAACCACAGTTCAAAACCGGGACTTAATATTGAATCCATCTGAGCGACGTTAGAATGATCAAATTTTGCTTTCCCAATGGTATGATTATAAATTTTGTTGAATTATTTGCCTTGAATTTCGATGTGTTTCAGTGATTTAAAAAATTATCAATGAAATCCTGATATTGGTAATAAATCCCTATTAGCGCAATTAAATCTATAAAAGTTTGCTCTGTTCATGGCATAATTTTCGACACTTTCGCTTTTTTCCGAAATTTTTGTAGACTTCAGAGCAAAAGTGGAGGCAATTGGGGGGCGCCAGCTAAAGCATCTGAAAGAACAGATTTTTACAGACCACATGAAACCGATTTCCAATTTCTGCCACCTTTTTTTCGCTTAAACTCTCTTTAAAAAATCGCGCAATTCTCTTTTTCTTCCCAAAACTGCATAAAATAGCACAAAGACTAAACAAAATCCAGACAATGAAAACTTGATGTCGCTCCCTCTTCACCCAAATGGGAAACTTCTGTTTCGGGTTTCTGAGCGAAAACTTCATCTGTGAGATCGAAATGCTCGAAACTTTTAAAACTCTAAAGCGCAACGTAAAAGTATCTGTCTTTGACAAACACTATGGAAAGATTGGGGGCACGTTTAGATGCAACTCCAGAAACATCATTTGAATCGATGGATTTAGATTTTACAAGCAATTTGTCTGGAAACGAAGTGGAAATTTTTTCAATATTGAAGTGTATTGAAGTTTGGAATAATTGATGGAATACATGCTTCTAGCTTGCGAAGTTGGCCTGCCTGCATATTCTCCAATTAATAACTTATTGGCAGAAGCTCTTCTAGTTTGCTCATCTTTATCCATTTTTTGTTGAAGAAAAGAGTAAAATAACACCAAACAGTATTTTGCGCAAGCGAAACCCAAATATTAAACTTCTTCTGGGCTACAAGATATTTGTCTGAGAGCTTCGGTTTTGAGTGAACTCCAATAAACTGGAAACGGTGTTTATCCAAGCTAAAATCAGCAAAGAGATGCCATATCAGGTTCATACATGTGACTAATCCCTCGCAGGAACATTCAACGCAATGTTTGACAGGCACTTTATATTTTCACTGAACAAAAGCTTTCTCGGATGTGTAAACAGTTTGAGGGTGATTTGATATCGAGGACATGTGTTTGTGCAGGGGCTGAACTAGGGAATCTTGTGGAAAAATATTTTTTTTGGAATGGTCTCCTAAATACTTACACCTTCCTGGATCATGGCAAGAGTGTTTCGGGCATCGTCGTACTGTGAATTCATAATCAGTATCCGCATACTTTCACGTACTCGGGGTTGGAAGCTGGAATCTCTTGCGCTGTTATCCAAAAGCACTGCTGATCCAGCCAGCAGGATAATGAACGCCAGAACTTGAGATCCAATGTACTGAAAAAAGTGGCAAATTTTTAATTCTAAACGAAAGTTGCAGTTGGCAAATTTAATTTTGGCGCCAGGAAAACCGAGTTTGGTGAAGCCCATGTAAAATAATAACCAAATTTGCATGGAAAACACTGCGATGACAAATAAGCTAACTATAAATAGAGTAAAAACTGTCAAGAACGTGGAGAAGTTAGCAACTCGACTTATTAATTAAACTTATTCATTCCAGAACGATAAAGCGAGCGACTTTGTTAGTTTCCTTATAATAATTATACGCAGGCAGGAACGTCGTTCTAATGACAAATAACTTCATTCCATTCGGTGTTGCGACGTGGATGAAAAGTTTCCGGAAAACTTTTACTAGAAAAACCGACGCCATTCGGAGCAGCAGAGCGTTCGGCGAAACAACAAAAGCGAATTTTATTGTTTCGGTTCTAATAGTTTCGATTTCAAAAATTGTAGATTAAGCAGGCATAATTGAGGCACAGCAATTGTGCTTTATTAGAAGATTGTTTTCCTGCGATTGACTAATGATAACGTTTACTAGAGCCCTAATTACACGGCCCAGGGACGGACACTGAAGGGCAAATCCTCTCTGACAATAAATGCGGGCCAAGAGTGATGTAACCTATTTCAAACACCGAGGATTCTAATGCTGGGGACTAATTTGGGACTAAATAAGCAGTTGCGGGCGCAAAAGTAATTTTTCGTCTCATGTCTCGCTTTGGTGTAATTGCTTAGGTTGCTAGTTTCTTGAATTATTGGAGCAGAAGTAAAATGGAAGCGCTTCAAGTTGCTTTCTAGACACGGCCGCAATTTTTACCTTCCACGTGCCATTTAAAGTTTCTTATTGGCTTCCCAGTTTTGTCAATTAATGGAGATTTAGTACAAGAGTTCGGTTCTGGTGGCTTGTTAGAAAGAACAAAATTGGTTTAAATAATAATACGAAATAATAATTAAGCTTTTCATAACTGATCATGGTATGATACATATTTATTTATAATTAGGAATTTTATTTTTGAGCTAAGTTGCTTAACCCTTATTAAGTATGCGCACGTGGTTTACGCTTTCATCTAACTAAATTTTATCACTTTTCTTCAAATTAATAAGGATTTATATTAAGCCTCCACTGGCTAATTCCTGCAACAAACATGCATAACTTAACTGCAAAACAAATATTCAATGGAAATCTGCTCTTTTACAAAATTCACCAACACTAAAATTTCCCTTTATTTATCTGAAATATCAACTATAACAATATTTAGAAATTTAGAGAAATTTTTGGTAACCAACAAGCTGCACTTACTAAGGTTATTGGCGCTTAAAATTTAATTTAAATCGTATGTACTATTTACCAGCATAATTTGGCGTGTTATGACACACACTTCATTATTTAGTTAAGTATACTAACTTTAAACGTCGAAAAACTACTAAACAGAACTGGCAGGATTTTATGGTTACCACAAACACATTTTTGCATTGGAAAACCGAAAGGTTTTTAAAAGCCTTGAACATTTATAATGAAGGTTCTACATGACATTTTAGTTGAAATTAATCCATTCGAGCCCTGGTAAGACAATTGATTGCCTCAAAAGTAAAAAACTTTAAATACCACGATTTAAAGTTTTTCAAAATTTAGGAATGTATGATCCACACTTAATTATTTCTATCAACATTTTTGTTTTTGGGCATTGTTTCAAAAATTGGGGGTAATTTTAATTTTTTCCTGTTAATACACGCCGAGAATTTTCCACTTTTCCTTTTAAGCGAAGGAAGACATTTGTTTTACTTAGAAAAATAGAAATTCGTGTTGGTGTAAATTCACATGCGAAGTATACGAGGCAACAAAGTCAGAAATCGAAGCAAAAAATCACCATATCCGACCATAAATCTGACCGAGCCGAGTATTTATGGCTCTTTAAAGGTATTGGGAAATTTTCAAGTAGAGCTTGTTTTAATATTTTATACCCGAAACATAGCTGCATAAAGTTTGACGTTGTCTTTATAAATCATCTGTCCCTTTTTCAACTTATAGCGATATCAGGTTGGCCGCACCCTTATCAAGTATTATGACAGTATATTGATTATGTTTTTATATATTATAACGGGCAAGCGTCAGCAGTTTTTCTCGTAAAAAATGAGCAGCGTCTTAAAGGAGACAACGTAACAGTTGGAGTTGACTTTTGGCCATTGCAAAAGTGTCAATAAAGAAACGTCCCCATTTTTCTGCTCAATCGGCTTCTAAGTTTCAATCCATATCCACGACGATTCACTGTTTTCACTCAAATATCTAAAAAACTGTCCCTCAGTTTGTGTTCAATCAGCTCCAAAGTTTCATTCAATATCCATCTGGATTGATCGCGTTCTACTCAAATGTTGAAGCAAAATAACATTTTTCGCATGTCTCTCAATGAGCAGTGAAACCCATGTAGAATTAGTCCCAGATCCCTGGCCAAGACCATAAAGCCCTTGAAAAATCCGCCATAATTAGATTAACGCAAACCACAACCCTTCGTTCGGTCTGACCCGTACAAATCCAAGTAAATCCGACGGGGATTTCCGAAATTTCCTTCACGCTTATTTGCCTAATATAATCATCTTAAATGTCCGAAATGTAATGATTCGGGGATGAAGGTCCAGGCTTAGGACGATATTAATTAGAATCAGCGGACAAATCTTGGACAACCCATTTTGGTAATAAACAGTTCTTTGCCTAATTGGCCGATCGATCGACCGAAAGGACTGAAAGTTCGATATACAATTGAATAACATGAAAACGTTTAAAAAGTGTGAATTAGAATAAAGTTCTCTTTATTCTAATATAGTATAAGATTTTTAAGATATTGCTTGAATACAATTCTTACTAAAACTACATTGAGGGAACATTTTTTCCAATTGATAAAATTTCACGAGCTTGAATGTAGGAACCGTAAATTCTCAAAAATCCTGAACCGCATCCGGCTTTGCAGATTAATTTAACTTTTATTTGAAATTAGCAAATTTTCTGGCTGTTTGGTAAATTATTTTGTTTTCCGAAATCTCTAGTTTTAGGAACATTTCGAAATAACCGTAGGTTGAAAAATTTCCCGCAATTCAACAAAGTGCAGGAATCTATTGAAATTCTCCTCCGTTCTTGCTCAGGGCTTCGTCTATGGATTTCCAAAATTTCAACTCTAAATACAGCGCAGTTTTCAAATAACGATCTCTTAATTTGATAGATCAGCACTTCATTTCTGGTCATTTGAGTCTACTATATTGATCGCGATTGTTCCACAATGCTGCCGCATTTTTCCACTTACGCCCTTTTAGATAACTTTACAGAAGAAAGAAGCTTTCGCATCCGATGATTAATGATCCAACTTTCTAATGTTTTGATTGCCACCCGCATTGAACGTCTTGAAGCTTCAACTTGCTGAAGTCACACGTCTTTATCGACCAAAACAGACTGCTGATTTTTTCATCGTTATCAATAATAAAGCGTTCACTTCTCTTTGTGTCCAGAAAGAGCGCGCGATGAAAAATATGAAATCCACGAATTTAATGCACTTTGCACCAATTCTCCTGCATCCAACGTGCATATACAGTAAATATGGAAATTTAGCACATATTGTCCGCGATTGCTGTGGTTTGCAATTGAAAAACAAGTTTTTTCGGATATACATTGAGCCTATGGCTCAATTTAAATATACCTTAAGTATGGCCGTTCAGTTAAATCGGGCGCAAAAATAAATGATTCATGAATGGAGATTTTAAATAAGACAGAAAATCGCTTTTAAATTACTTCGACTTTTCTGTTTCTTCTTCGACTGGAATTAAACCGAAATGTTGCAGCACAATTCCAAAGTTGGGCGAGTTGTTAATGCCGGTTTTAATAATTGAGAATAAAGGTAGAAGTTGTTCCGATTTGGGCGCCTTAATTTGAAACGTTTTTAATCAATTCCGATTCCAGATTATTCCCGCTTTGATACTTCGAAGGCGAAATTTAACAGAAATATTACACCTGAATAAGTTTAATAACAAGCGATTGTTTGTTTCTATGACCGTGTGGATTTTTCGCGATTTTCATCAAAAGATACGCAGGAACACTGGACCGATTTATGCAATGAAACACAAGAAATTATTCAGCATCCGGTATTCATTGTGTGGATTTAGGACGCACCTTTATGGAAATGAATTAGGCGTCGAAAATTTTTAATCAAGCCTTTGCGGACAATTTAATTAAGCCCTCACACACATTATTTCAACCAAAACAATACTGGCAAATTTTGATGAATTGAAGCTGTCTTTTTCTGTACGCTTGATGGGCTTCTAATGGAAATAATACTTCAATTTACGTGGAAAGTTTCGTGGATTTCCTGGGTATTTTAAATATTTTCGTTTTTCAGTCATGATTTCTACCTTAATAGAATTTTATGTCACCAGCCAAATACTGTTTCCAAAGCCAGGAACATACCTAGTTAAATAAATAATTTGGGTGCATCTAGAAAGTGTATTTGTTTATTATTTTCTTGCAAGCTTAGCCCATTTAATTTCCTTTGTACACTTTTAATTTCATTATCTAAGTAGTTAATAAAATAAAGTCAAAGTCAACTGATTAATAAAGCCTAATGGATAATCGCTGTGATAAATCGAAAGCAAATTTGCGTTGAATCAAAAAGTTTAATTAAAATCGGCTTCTCCATTAAAATTTGCCGACAATGAGAATTCATTAGAGATGGTCCTTTACTGATTAATATCGCTTTCGATGAAGCGAATACATTCTCTTCTATTTTAGAAAAGCAGCAATCAAAATTCTACTGGATAATTTAAAATCGCTCGCAGAGACTTTTATTGGCGAATTCTCGATGGAATTTTCGTAAGAAAAATGTCGTCCCAAGAAAAATTAATCCTATTTTCGGATTTACCGTTCTTAATGAAATAGAGGCATTCGCATCTTCGTGGTATTAAATAACCTTTATTGGCTGATATTCCATTGTTTGTCCATAAATTGATTTTTATTAGCGGGA